CAATTATTCTAGTCAATAAAAGCAGGTGGATCTATAAGGTTGCATTCTGCAATTTCTTCACAAAAACACATTCAGGGAGTAATTTTCATTTCTACAGGCCAAGGGCACAATCACACAAGCACATGTGTGTTTCCGAAGACTGAGGTTTCAAGTTCCACCACGACTCCTTTATCTGGGTTGCCTTCTGAACTGCAGATTGTGAATGTAATAGCATCCTCCACTGGCTTTTAAATTCATTACTGAATGGTCATGCATGAGCATGTTCTCAGTCCTTTATCACCAGCCTCATTACTAGGCACATTTATGCTGTATTCACTGCTCCTTTTCCGGGTATTCCTCCAGGTCATTGACCACCTTTTGGAATTTCATCATTTGTGCTTCAGTTCCACATAAATCAGCCAGAAAAATATCAGGGAATTTCCTGTATCTGTTGTTTAAGCTGTTTAAAAGTAGCTAGGTAAAACATTTGACAGTATGCTAAAGTACTAAAGAATTTAATTTCCTGCTGAGGAAGTGGGAGTAATAAGGTAATCTAATGCAGCATCTCCCTGTCCAATCAATATCCATAGTTTCTTGATCATTAATGCTTTAAGAAAGGGATTTGTTAAGCCAGTTGCTTGTCAGCACTGCTTGATTTCTTTTTTTTTTTTTTTTTTTTTTACATTTAGACTGTTAATTTCTCAGTTTGATGGCACATTTTTAAAACACTTCTATTAACGGCAGGTTTTTTTTTACTGCATCCATCTTCCATAATCTCCATCATTATGCAGTTATATGTCTCTAAAACGCTCAGTTCCTCTGCAGCTCAGAGGACAATTCACACTATATATCATTTCACACAGTCAATTAATTGCAAAATTCCATTTCTCAGGAGAAAAGTAAAGAGAAAAAAATTCCTGAAGTGAGATTTTCACTTGTAGCTTGTAGTGGGTTTGTAAGCCTCCCTGAGAGGGAAATGGAACTAGGATAGGTTCCTGATGTATATTTTACCCAAAAGGTATCCCATACCATGTTTCGTCAGCTCAGATATAAGAGAGGGAGGAGGAAACAGTTTTGCTCTTCTCTTCAGGGTAGCTGTGCGGTGGTGGATGGGCTGCTTCTTCTTCTTCAGGAAAATGCCTTTCATGGAGAACTAGTCTTTCTTGTTAGCTTTCCCTGTGTGTATAGTGCTTATAGTTCCTTTTTTTTTCCTTCTCTGTGTAAATATAAAACTGCTTTTCTTGGTAAATCCCGGGTTTTTAAGTTTTCTTTTTCGTCTCCCCTTTTCCCTCTGGGGGTGGGGGAGATCTGCGTACCCTCGGTGGACATCTGGCATTCAGCCAAAGTAAACTATCCCAGGATATCTGGGATATTTCTAGATGTGCAACAGCAACCAGCACACAGTAAATCCAGCATCTGGGAGTCAGACTTATTTGCACAGACTGCATTCATAAATGCATATTTTTTATATAAATGAACAAAAAACTCCAAATATGATAAAATATGATAAAATTAGAGTTGAAAACAAAACCAGTATTATATATTGTTTTTAAAAGGTACCTAATATTAAATGGACTTTTAATTTTATAGTTTTGAAATGTTGAAAAAAATTAGGTTTTTTTTCTTTTAAAGATTACTCTAAATTTTTTCAATAGCAGTTCTGCAAATTTTAAACTTGTTTTTCCATTGAATCATTAATGTTAAATATCTTCCATCTTTTTTTGTATAACGCTATTCATTAGAAAAATGACTGCTGATAAAATTGTAGAGACTACGTCTTTTAGACAATGGAAACTGTGTTTTGTATATTCCGATAAAATCTGTTAAACACTGCAGATGGCAATTGATAAGTATTATTGTTTAAGAAACTATGCACTTGAATTGATGCTTCAATTGTTAATTTTGTATTTATTCACTTTTACACAATTAATAAAATCATCTGAATATTTATTGTAATAAAGTCTGTAAACCTGAAAAATTATCGTAATAAAGACTGTGAGCTACGTAAAACAGCTTGATTTTATTGCATTGTTTGTCCTGCAGATGACACATGTGGAAAACCAATCATAGTTACTCAGAACCGGATCAACAGAATCTTATAATATGATATTAGAGGTTGAAATAAGTCTTTAGGATTTGTACCTGTTTTCTGATATCTGCTCCTTCCATTAAGCTAAGCACTTCCACAGTAAGGAAAGAATTTTTGTGCTGGACTGATATATACTATTGGTCACTATTTTAGTCCTCATCACAAGACCCTCCCTCAGATCTAGGACAGTCACTAGTTTAAGGCACAGAAGTCAGAAGGCAGAAAGCCATCCATCCATTCCACAACATTCAGAAGTTTAAAAACACATTAAAAAAATAATCTAGTGGGGCAGTCTTAGCAGATTTCTTTTGTAAGATAAATGTAAAACACAACATAAGCAAAGTAGGAAGTAATGTTTCTTTCCTAGAAAGGAAGTTTCGGAATACCTTTACACATAAAGCAAAAGAGAAATCAACTTAAACAGAATTTTGCTGAGTCCTGAGAGGTTTATAAATGAATTACAGTATGATGTTTCCTGCTCTAGTAGGTATGTTCCATTCATGTATTTATTTTTGTCTTTTCCCTGTTATCTTCATACACTAAATTTGAAGATAGTTTGCTCAAAAGAAAGTGAAAAGTGCTTTTGGCATATAGATGTCTCACAGAAGATTATACTCAAATATCCTTAACTTTACTTGTGTCTTCTACAGAGTTTTCAGAGATGAACTACAAGATCGGTATTTAGAAAATAAAATTTAACAGAGAAATTATTGCAAACAACAGATGTTGAAACTGGCAAGACTTCGTTAACACAGATCTCACTTTATTTATATCCCACAGAACTAAATGGTCAGTTCAGAAGGAAAAAAGAAAAAATAGTAGAAAAAGAGACTCCAAGTATATCCAGAGGAAAAAAAAGGATATAATAATTTGAAAATTTTAAGGACTTGGGGGAGGGGGAGAAGAAATGATTGATAAAGAGGCTATTACTAATAAAATTCAGAAGGGTTTTCATTGCTTATTCATTTCAACATGCTTTTAACTGATATCAATGTAAATAAAATAAAGGAAATGTACTAAAGTGATTTTTCTTCCATTCTATATGCCAAGATTGACACAAAGGATGCAGTAAAAAATAATTTGGGTAACATTATTTAGCACAGTTTCTCATGGACATTTAAGCATACAGATACTGCAGGAAACTAAATGATTGAGCTATATCTGCATATCATAAGAGTGGGAAATTTCAGTATTATGTTGAAATGTGAACATGGTAAAATACAACAACAAACATATTTGTTAACACAATTAAAATAGGGTTTTTTGAAAAAAAAAAGAAAATGTTTGTATAAGTCAGTGAAAGTATATTGCTGTACTGTAAAGTCATAATTTTTGTTAAAGTAGCAATTGAAATTAAAATGCAGCTGTGTTTTCTGAAGTTCAATAAAGCCTATATGTACTAAGGTTAGCAGACTATAATTTCTGAATCAAAGGGACAGAACAAATATCTGCCCTAAACACAACATTTTGCCTTCATAGTTTTTCTTTTTTTCTCTCTTCACTGCTTGTTTTCAAGCAATTTCATTAAAGCAGACCACTAATTCATCATTTTTCTTTATCTGTCACGGGGCAGGAATACATAAATAGGAACTTCCCAAAAAATGTAGGATTATAATCCTTGGGATATTCTTTAAACTAGGAATTTCCTGAACCTTAAGTTTTTTGTCTAAATCCATTGTATTTTAAATTATTTTGCCCAAGTTCTTGAATTATTTTCAATTTTTTTTTTTCCAGAAGAAGAAGGAAATTCAACACAACTTAGAAAGTGAGAAACACCTCAGTGGCTTCCTTTGAATAATTTTGTTAGTGTAATCTCAGCTATTGTCTTTGCAAAAGACAGAAATGATATAAATATAAATCCCTCTCCAGCTTCTAGTAAATTACCCCCTGAAGCAAATGATGGTAGAGCTACCAGCATTGGATTTTAGTGCTTATATTGAAGTGGAACATACAATATTGCAAACAATTGCTTACAACTGCCTTACAAGCAGGTACTGTATTTTCTCATTAAGTGTATTTGCTGTAGTAACTGGTTAAAAGAAAACAAAAACTCTTTCGAGCTCTCCAAATTTTGTTGAGAATTGAAAGATATTACTACAGCATCATTACCAGCAGCTTTTAATGCACAGGCCCAGAAAGCTATTAAACCCTGTTTGTTTACTGTGCCCATTTTCTCGTTTGAACTATAAAACACTTATCTGGCACCCTTGGAAATGCACCTCTTCTCCAAGTGGTTATGGAGTTACGGGGTTATTATTTTTCATTATCAGAAGTGAATCAACCTTTTTGGGATGCTCTCAGCTACCAACAAAAATAGTCATACATTATCTTTTTCTGAAGAGTGAAGGCAGGTTCTTTAGACAGTAACTTAAAAATATGGATCAGCAGCCTACATTTCCCAGAAAGCATCAAATCAACTCAGGCCATCATCAGGAGAAAACAGAAAGTTTAAAGACTTTACAAATGATAATCAAGACATCAGCTGCCCAACTTTCGCTGAGGCTCTGTGTGCACACACATTTTGAAAAGTTGCACACTTTTTCTCGCCCTATGTAAGAAAAGCCTACAGTACGTAAATCACCAGACTTCTAAAAAGAACCTAAGTGGGAGATTTACTGGGAGGCTGATTGGGGAACTATGATAAAATTGGCTGCTTTCTCAGTGTCACATTTGTTAGAAAAAGTTTTGCAACAGGTTTTCTCATTAGATATATCATTATTTCAGTGGAAATTAAAGGAAAAAAAAGATTGGTCCTATGGATTTAGAAATACAGTTTGTACTTTTTTTTTTAGGGTGACATTTTTATGTAGTTAAAAAATCTCGCTTTGTTACTTCCCATAAATTAATAAGCAGAATGAATGACCTATCACAACAATTCATATTTCTGCAATTATTTTTTATTAAGTATTTTGGAATAATAGAGAATTCCTACCGCATCTTCTGTTTTGTGGTTATTCAGCAAATCAGATAGGAAATCGTCATGAAGACTTTCTCTCCGAATCAACGTAAATTCACGTAGGAAAACTGTTCCTTGATTTTGATCTCCAAAAACCTAGAAGGAAAACATGCTATTAGGAAATGCACAATTTTAATTCTGTCATAGACACAATCATAATATCCAGATAAATATGACTAGAAGGTTAAAATGTCCATTAATGGTCCTTTTGTCTTCCATTACTATACCCATTCTAGCCAGACAGCACTGCCATCAATGAGAACACTGATATGCATTCAAAGAATGTCAGTACATTAATGAATAACTGCCATTTACATGAGATTTTTTTTGTGAAAGAAGCTTCTACAGTGTTATTTACAGCTATGGTCTATAAGGCAGTTAATGTTTAAAAACTCTTTTGTGAAATGAATTAGCATTTAAATTGCATTTCTACTTTATAGAACAGATCATGTTTGTCTAGAACTGTGACTGATCTGTCATAAGAAGTTAGAGTTTAAAACTTCTAAGGGACAGAAAAAATTATTTATAAGTATTTTGGCTGGTAAACTTCCATATGCACATAAATTCAAAGTAATTTAAACTAACTTTATACCTATTGTTTTTAGGAATATATATATAAGCTACTTGAGAAAGAGATTATTTCTTCAGTAACTGACTAACCAATGACTTCCAAAGTACAATCCTAGGTACAATTATGACATTTTTATAGGTTTTGGAAATAAATAATTAAAGCAAATCCACATTATTCTTCATGCTCCCCCATCCCTTTTTTCTTTGGTTATTCAAGCCAAAGAATTTTTTTTTCAGGTATAAAGTAAATCAGAAGTGTTGGAAACCACTGAAATAATGGGGAGGGGTTTTTTACATATTAATGGAACATGTTGAAACACTATTGTTTCATTTGACTGACTCTAAAGAAATCCACTACAGGAGAAATCCATAAAGGTTGTTATCAACCAGAAATAGAGACTGTATTATCTCTGGAAATCTAGTAGATTTTTCAGTTTTCAGGACTCCACAACATATTTTAAAGGTCATTCAGATTGAGAGAATAGTATGTTTTACCAAAATAATGAAGTAAAAATATTTTGTACTTTAATATTTGACAACAGTAACCAAAACACTAGTGTGAATTAGGCAAATGCAATAACTATAAATAATTTATTTATATGAGATACTGATTTATCTTCTCATAAAGGTATATGAGATACTCAGGTACGGTAGTCGTGGAGTTTCGAGTTTCTGGTTCTTTTTCTGTTTCTACATCTCAGGGACAAGATACTATAATCAGGAATGGAAGACACAGCATTTCCTCATGTTATTTAGGATAAACACAGTACTTATAAATGGACTGTCATTACTCACAAGAGCTGCAGTAACTAAATATTTTCTGAGAAGGAAGTCCATGCTCTGCTGCTTTTATTATGACTATTTCTTCTATTCCTTGTTCTGTATAGCTAATTATGCTGTACCTACTTATCCTAGTTGAGAAGTTCAAAGAAGAGCCTGGAAGTAACTTGATGTGTATTGTCCAGAGGGAGGATGAAGTACAGGTTTGCCTTTCCATTCCCTTAAAGTGAGTTGGTACTGTTGTTTGGGAGAAGGCAATCCTCTCTGACAGCTGGGAACTGAGATCAGAGCTGCTATAAAGCTAGCGCAGCTAAAACAGACTCACTAGAAGAAGCTAAGCTAATAAAGTTTCACAGGGGGATGGAAATATCTTTGTATGAAGTGGGTAATGGGAAGAATTAAGTCCCTAAATCCAAACTTTATGCCCATTAATATAAGAGACCTTTTCTTTGACATAAGATTCTTGTCTTTAAGTAGTAAAATACAAGGCACCCGTATTTGGTTGCTCTGAGATCTTCTACTGTAAATTTTTAGTTAAATTAAAAAAAAAAACAAACCCACAAAAACAAGTGAACAAACAAAAACCCCAGCAAATACTTTATATAACAGGAACAGTTTTACAAGAGTAGGGTTTTAAAATTTTTGCTTAGCTTCCTGCCTTATGGATAACATTGAGAGATACACGCACTGATATTACTCTTATATTATTGAGTCACAGCAATGAAGAATCTGCAGGGGTGTACAAGGAAGAAATATGCACTTGTCCCAAATAAAAAGAAGCCCTGAGACTGACACACTTTTTTTTTTGACAAATCATTATCTTACAAATAAAAATTGTTCTGAAATAGCTCATATCATAAAAATGTTTCAACCCAAGATTGGTCAAAAATGCAAGTTAAAGTTATTTCAAGAAAGGAAATCTGTACTTTTATTCTACTTTCACGTAATATTCTCTACTTTAATTTGAAACACTCATGATCAGCAAATTCAATCATAAATTGTTTAGGTTAGAAAAGACCTTTAAGATCATCCAGTCCAACTTTTAACCTGGCATTGCCAAGTCCATCACAAAACCAAGACCCCAAGTGCAACATCTACATGCCTTTTAAATACCTCCAGAGATGGCGACTCAACCAGGTCCCTGGGCAGCCTGTTCCAATGCTTGTCAACCCTCTCCATGATGACATTTTTCCTAATATCCAAGCTAAACCTTCCATGGCACAACTTCAGGCCATTTCCTCCTATCCCATTGCTTGCTGTCTGTGAGACTGACCCTCACCTCACTACAACCTCCTGTCACATAGTTGTAGAGACCAATAATCTCCTCCCTGAAGCTCATTTTCTCCAGGGTAAATAACCCCAGCTACCCTAATCCGCTCCTCACAGGACTTGTTCCCCAGACCCTTTACCAGCTCTCTTGCCCTTCTCTGGACATGCTTCAGCACCTCTATGTCTTTCTTGTCGTGAATGACACAAAACTGAACACAGGATAGGTGGTGAGATCTCATCAGTGTTGAGGACAGGGACGATCCCTTCCCTAGTCCAGCTGGTCACACTATTTCTGATACAAGCCAGGATGCCATTGGCCTTCCTGGCCACCTGAGCACACTGCTGGCTCATGTTCAGCTGCTATCAACCAGCACCCCTGGGTTCTTTTTCTCTGGGCAGCTTTCCAGTCACTCTTCACCCACACTGTAGTTTTTGTGATCCAAGGGCATGATCGGCACTTCGCTTTGTTGAACCCTACACCACCGGCCTTGGCCCATCGATCCAGCCTGTCCAGATACTAGTGCTTCTAATTTCAGAAGTCAAATTATAAATAGTGTAAACAGTCACTTCCTCACCAATGATCTAACTTCCCACTTTTCTTATTTTGTTCCTACACAGATATAGTCAGATTTTGCCAATTCTTTTCCTCATAAGAGGAGTCAGTATTCTATTATTACAATTTCTATATAGTTCTCAAAATAAATGAAATCTACTGATAAAAAAATGTATATGGAGTAACAAAAATCTCAGTAAAGTACTGCTAACCCTTAAAACTTAACTGTTTACCATATCAACATCAATGTTTTGATTACTCCTAGTTACATAGGAGGGAAAAAGATGACAGAGGCACTATTCAGAAGTAGGAGACAGAGCAATGTAGTCTAAAAAAGACACTGGGATACTGAGGATAAAAGAAGATGAGAAATAAAAAAGCAAAAAAGCAGTAATGAAAGAATGATTTACTTTTCTTTTAATTTAGCAAATTTTAACAACAAAGTATTTAAAAAAGAAAACTGAAAAGCATGCAGTCATCTAAAAGACGTTATTTTCCTCTTGATTTATATCATACACTTTTCTGCTTTGAGTAGTAATTCCCCCTGGATTCACCTTAATTTATACATTTTCTGATAGAACTTAGTCCTAGTAGAATATGGACATCCTTACTGAGAGAACTGAAAAAAATCCATTAAAGATGAGTGTCAGTAAATTGGAATAACATCCTGAAAGACTGTTATCCATTTTTCAAGTTTCCCTTAAGTTTTGGCTATATACATATGACCACTTAATTCCCTCAAGAAACCTGTTTTCATCATGACAGAGCCACTCTACCTCTGATCTGTCTTCCTCCAGTTCATGATGAGACAAACTTAGAAAACAACCTTCAAAAATAAGACCATGTAGCCCTTCTTAAGCAGTGAGCAAACCACAGAAATGGAAAGTAGCCTGGCAGAAATCTGACCTGAAGCAGCAGCAACCATGCACCGCAATATGTGGCTTTCCAAGGACCTGCAAACACACTGTAAATGTGTTTTCACTAGTGCACATGAAGATCGACAGCATAGCATTGAAGTCTGTCAGCACAAGGAAGTTAGCTGGGTATTCACATGCTCAACTGGCATTGCAAAGGAGCCTTTTATGAAATTGATATGAGGTAAAATTCCAGCAAATACTTAAAAAATAATGTTTTTCTCATTTTAGTGCAGTTTCTCTCTCTCTTAAACCAATGCAAATCATTAGTTGTTCCATTAGATCCAGTGGTGTGAGTCCATGGGGCAGAAACCTTTGAGGAACCAGGCTGACAAATACAGAGTTAGAAAATAAAAGATCTAACACAAACCAGAGGGCGAAAGGATGAATCCCAGCCAACAAAGCCTAAGTTTTCTTGCACTTGGTTACTGTGCCACTGGGGAAGCAGTTTCATTACTTTTGCTGTGATCAGCAATAAAGTAAACTAATAATAATTCTTTGTTAGCAAGGTGTAATAGTGGTATTTTGCTGAATTCCTGAGGCACAGAAGTGAAAATACAGGCCAGGAATCTGATGCAAACAATCATGGTACCTGCAATACCACCTTTCTCAGTGCAGAGGAAGAGGAATTTCAAAGTATCTCACTTACAAAGCAGAAATATCAAATGTGGCCTCAAGTATTTATTATTAACTATTTATGCACATCCTAGAGTTCTTTCAAGGTGACAGTTGCTCAGCTGAAACTTTTTTTATTTTGGATATCCAAAGCCCAAAGTACGCAGAAAATTATCACTAACATCAAAACCTGAGGCAAAAAAAAAGTACTAGTTTATTAAAAAATGCTTTTTCTGACAAAATTATTTTTAAAAATCAGGTTCTTTAACTTCACTTTTTTTTCCCCAAGAGGCCTAGAGTGTTTTGACAATGATAAGAAGGATTGCTTCGTCTAACTAGTAGTATTCTCAGGCACGAATCTCTTGATTTTCATGTCAGAAACAAATCAGAACAGG